TACATTATTTAAAAATTCCAGTTCATTTCCATCCCTTCTTGCTTCAACTCTTGACTAGATTTGAGCTCACCCTCTGCATTCAATAATTCTATATATCTAACTGTTTGTTCCTTTTTATGTATTATCGGATACGAGAATGCTTCAATTGTTGATGTCCAGACTGGAATTTTTAAATAATGTAATTTTTTAATCTTTTCCCAATTTAACAATATATATATCTTATATTATCTTATATTATCTCATAATATATCTCTTACAAGGCTGTCTTCTGAGTTTGAGCAGAAATACTTGAAATACAGTAATAATAAACCATGGTATTTTTTTTGGAACAAACAGTAATGTTAAGTCAAATCCAAACCATACTATGGGAACGTGACAGGTTTGCTGAGAAGTAAATCCTATTTAGTTCAGTGGTGTCTACCTAGAAGGGTAGGACTGCAACTATCGTGTTTGTTGGAGTTCTAAGAAACGCATAAAAACGGGTGAAATCCAGCAGGTTCTGACAGGTTCTGGAGAACCGGTAGCGGAAATTTTGAGTAATTTGGAGAACGGCAAATGCCACCTCTGGCTGGCCCCGGGATGGGAATGGAGATTTTGCGGTATCCTTCCCCTGGAATGGCCACCAAACTATGCCTGCCAAGCCATACCCACAGAACCGGTAGTAAAAAAAATTGCATTTCACCGCTCCATAAAACCATTCCAAAAGAATTGGTTTTAAAAGGAAATTTATATACAATCTTAAATAAAATTCCCCCGGACTAGGACAGGGCATCAATTCTTATTTATTTGAAGACTTCAAGCGGCTCGCCAACATATTTTAAAAAGTGAAAAGCAATTAATTGATCCATAGACTCACAATAATTTAGCTTCCCCCCCCCCCCAAACAATATGGTTTTGTAAAAACTATAAAGTACAGCATTTTAGACTTGGCTCTGTGTGCATTTTAGAGAAACCCAGTTGTGGATTCTATGTACCCCATTTAGGCCACTTGAGGGAGCTGCAACCTGTTTTATAATTCCAAGATGTTTGCAATAAAGCCGAGTTAAGAAAATGTGCAACACCATCTAAATAATTAAGCTTTAATACACTAGAGGTCGGTTTTTCAGGATTGGGTTGACGGTGTTCACACAATATACTAAGCCATCCCCAGCAATAACCAAGATTAAAAGTAACCAACATAAAATTGGTCAAAATGTGCATTGATCTGATTAAGTATGTTGTTTGAACACAGACAAAAAAAGAGGAAAATATATGCCCTATCCTAGGTATATTCTAATTTGACTGACATATGATAAATCACATTAATCTCATACATTAAGCCAATCATTGATTGGAAATTTGTGAGGTATGACATGATGTTATACTTGATTCTACCGATAGCCACTGTGGCTTACTCAACAAACCACAGTTAAAACATTCCTAGTGTGTTTAAAACTCCATGCTTGTTTGGACATAAATATTAATAAGGGTTTAGAGAGTGTTGAAACTAAGTTACCGTAAATCCATTCTGTATGTAATACTCAACTGCACATTTTGCCTCTATTTATATACAGTGATACCTGGGGATTCGTCAATTGTTTCCGGGAGGCATGAGTACTAAAACTGAGTCCACGTGACTTAACATGTGACCAGAGGTGGTATTCAGCAGGTTCTGACCAGTTCTGGAGAACCAGTAGCAGAACTTTTGAGTAGTTTGGAGAACCGGTAAATACCACCTCTGGCTGGCCGCGCCCCCATCTATTCTCTGCCTCCCGAGTCCCACCTGATTGGGAGGGAATGGGGATCTGGCAGTAACTTTTCCCTACCACACCCACCAAGCCACGCCCACCAAGCCACACCACGCCCACCAAGCCACAAAATCAGTAGTACAAAATTTTGAATTCCACCACTGCATATGACCCTTTGCCTTGGCCGAAAAGGGTAGTGAGTCACGAGGCACCTGACACCGACAAGCTCTAGCTTGCGTGTCAAGTACCAAATGAACGGATACTAGGATGAAATTTTCGGCTCCTGACCTTTTAAGGTGATCAGCCTTGGAAGGAGGGATAAAGTCTATCTCGTCTTGAGCGTAGAGATGGTGTATACAAGTCCAGTGAAGGATAGAGCAAAAAGCCATTGACCAACCAAGACCCAGATGTTCCAAATGAGATGGAAGTTTCTTAATGAATCCCATTCAGATTCTAGGTTTTTTTAAAATTATTATTACCTAGGGAACATTTTGAAATTTTCTTGGCAGGGAGATCATGCTGGTTGTCTTTAATTGGCTTTAGAAATCTGTAAGCCTTTTCTTTCCTGATCTAAATATATAAGCTGAGTGCAAGAGAAAAGGCTATATTACTCTAGTTTTTATAGAATATTATGCCACAAAGAATGGCTCAGTTACCATGGGACTACAAATCTCTCACACTCCCATGACATCACAAATGGCTTCAGGAGTTGCATATAAAGAAGAAGCAGAGGCTCTGGTACAAGCAAGCCAAGCCAGGGGAAATAATAACTGCCACGGGGTCCTCTATGTTGCATCATAGAAAAGGGCTGCTCTCCATCCCCCCATGATGACACATCTAGCCATGCAATAATGATTAATGGCAACCAAGTCTGGGATGTCCAATCTACCAAGTCCTCAACCCCCATTCATGCAACATCACCATGCAGAGACATGCTGCGAAGTTTTAACCGAAAGCGGCAATAAATCTCAGCCAACGTCTCCACCAGTGGCCATTCCACCACCCATCCAGCACAATGGGGAGGAAGATAGATGGGCTTTCTTTATGAGCCTAGCTGGGGGTAATTGCTGCTGGGCTCCTCCCGCCCAGCAGAGAGAACATCCATGGCAAACCCCTATGACAAATATCAGAATGGAATAACCAGTGAAGCTAGCCCTCTCCACGAACCTGTCTGGAAACCACCCTCATTGGACTCTCCCTCTGTAGAAAAGGTTCCATCAGTCATTGTTCCTCCTCATGGCTATCATCTGGGGATTGACAAAGAGCCAGGTCTTCTCCATGAACCCATCTTGAACCAACCGCCAGTGAATTCCCTTGAAACCGAGCCAACTCCGCCTGTGATCATTCCTCCACGCAAGTGTAGGAAATGGATGAAAAGATGTCTAGGCCCCCTCCACGAGCCCGTCTGGGACCAACCTCCTTTGGGCACCTCTCTCTTCTTGCAGACCCCTGCAGTACCTATTGAATTTGGCAGTTCTCACAAAGAGAAAGACCGGCCATTGTATCTTCACGATCCTAGCGTGAAGCAACAGCCATCAGCAACCTCCTTTCCAGCGAAAACTCCCAAAGAAGTGGCTGATCTGAGGACCTCCAAGAAGAGTATCATGAGGTCATTAGGCCCGCTTCACGAACCTGTCTGGCATCAGCCACCGTTGGAGACCTTTCTATTCCAGACTCCACCAGAACCCATTGAATCTGCCAACTATCAGAAGATAAGGCCAAGTCATCTGAGTCATATTTATGGGCCTACTTTGACCCAAGAGACATTGGGCTCTAACTTCCCAGATCAAACTCCACCAGTGGCCGTTGCAACTGGCAATCATAAAAAGGGAAAGAGGCATCTTACCCCTCTCCATGAGCCTGTATGGTGCCGAATGCCATTTGTTTCCTACCTCCTGCAACGAGTTCCATCACCACTGGACATTCCAAATCCCTTCTATCAGAAGAGGACAGAAAGGCCACCAAATCCTAGTGATGCACCAAGTTCTCCTCAACACGAAAAGTCGCCATCCTTGACTGTTGCGCCTGACAGCTGCCAGAAAGGGTTGAAGAGACATTTAGGACCTCTCCATGAGCCTCTCTGGGATCAACCACCATTGGGCTCTTCCCTCCTACTGCAGACTCCACCTGAACCAATTCAACTAGACAATGGTCCCAAGAAGGGGCAGGGCCAGCTAGATCCATTGCCTGTGCCAGATACCTCCCGACCTCAACACACCACTTCGGGGACCATTCCACGTTGTAGTAGTCATCTTGGCAATCTTCATGAGCCTACATGGGGCCGACTGCCAATAGGCTCCCCCTGCCTAGAACGGGCATCATCTGTAGGCATCATACCTGGTAAAGGTCAAGAAGTAGGGGGAAGACCCTTAGGTCCCCTCCATGAGACTTTCTGGGAATGATTGGAATCCTCTTTCCTTACAATGGTGTCCATCGGTAGCCATCTCTGTCAAAAAGAGAGGCTAGATACCAGAAGGCCTTTCTCAAGAGCCTGGTTGTAACCACTTGCCATGAGTTCTCTTACTCCTTCCAACACCACCAGTAGCCATTACATCTGGGCTGTTTTGGTAAAAAAAAAAAATGAAGATACCCAAGCAGTGACTTGGCTTGTTTTCTTATTTTTCCTCCACCGCTCATATTTTTCGTTCCCCTTTTATGAGATTGTAACACATTTCAGCTGCAAGGTTTCTATAATTTTAGCAGTTAAAATCACCATAAGAACTCTACTGTGTAGCGCATTAATAAGATTTCTTTGTGTAATAAGAAGTCTGTCACAAAAACTAGCACAATCACAACGATGAGCTTGCAACATTGCCACTATTTTCCCGAGATCGTACAGCCTTGAGAAGTATTAAGGATTCTCATTCTCCCATTAGAGAGCTTGCAAAATTAAGAAACGGAGTAAATTGCACTCGTGGCAGAAGTATCAAGGCACCTCTGGGTTGAAAGGATTAGCTGGCGACATCACTGTTGCCCGGGAGATGCCAATTTGGGGGCTCCTGTTATGTCCCTGGTGGGAGCTGGAGTGATGGACAAGAGACCCTGCCCAGTGGGATTCAAATATTTTTACTACTGGTTCTGTGGGTGTGGCTTGATGGGCATGGCAGAGGAAGGATACTGCAAAATCTCCATTCCCTCCCCACCCCACGAACCTGCTTTCCAGCTCTCTTCTCCTGTGCAAGGGCAACAAAAGAAGACCTAGCTGATCAGCTGGGACTTGGGAGGCAACGAATAGATGGGGGCGAGGCCAGCCAGAGGTGGTATTTGCCGGTTCTCCGAACTACTCAAAATTTCTGCTACCAGTTCTCCAGAATTGGTCAGAACTGGCTGAATACCACCTCTGATTCTACCCCAGGGCAGCACTTGGATCTCAAATGCAGGCTTGCTAATCTCCAACCACCACATAGTAAATTGGGTCTTTTTTCCCCGTATTCTTCCAAAAATACCCACTGGCTANCTGCCTGCAATTTGGCAGTTCAAATCTCACCAGGCTCCGGTTGACTCAGCCTTCCGTCCTTCCGAGGTGGGTAAAATGAGGACCCAGATTGTTGGGAGCAATAGACTGACTCTGTAAACTGCTTAGAGAAGACTATAAAGTGGAGCGGTGTATAAGTCTAAGTGCTATTGCTATTAAATCCACTATGTGTCAGCTTAACTTGCCTCCTGTCAGACTGTTTTATTTCAAGACCACTTGTATAATTCAGGATGGTACCCAGATCTGAAGTGTCACCATCCTTTGTAATTCAGCAGTCATGGTGTACTTGTGTGAGTGTACTTGTGAACCACTTGTGCTTAAATTCCTCTACCCTCATCCCCCAGATCCGACCTCACATTGCCACTCTCCGCAAATACACGTACGGGAAACACATCTTGGCCAAGCTGGAGAAGTATTACATGAAGAACGGGGTTGACCTTGGGCCTATTTGTGGACCACCCAACGGCATCATCTGAAACACTGAGCTGCGGAAGAGAATTTGTCACCATAGTACCTGGAATTCACAACCAGCAACCTGTCAAGCTCTAATATATACTTTGAAAAATATTCACGGTTGCTCAACATAATAGATTTTACGAGAATGACAAAATAAAACTAGTCAACAAATTTAAACAGAAAAAAGCTGGGAGGGGGAGGGGAGGAAAAAAAAACCCCTTTGTAAATTTCTTTAATTTTATCCTGCATAACATGTACTAATTATTTTTTTAAATTGCCCTGCTGTTTCAGTGGTGTATAGAATTCTTGTACATAGGCAACAGATGTACATGGAAAGCCACGTTTTTGTTCACTGATGTAACTATTTCAAATATGGAAACTTTCAAAGTGGCTAATATGAAATTAAAAAAAACTGTTTTTAACTCCTCTACCTTACAGGAGAGCTTTTTTGGAAACAACTGTTTTGTTCTCTTTTAAGTCCACTCTCAAGGAGCAGTTTTAGTTAAATTGCGCAGATCTGCATTTAACACTGTTTATAAATTTAAAAAAAAAATAATCAGTTTGCTAAAGCTTCAATTTAAGGTAAGTTTTTAAGTTTCACAGACTTTTAAAAAAATTCCTTTTTCATAGTACAAAGTGCTAAAGAATTGAGCTTAGCAGTCAACTTTGGGGGGAAAACATACACACCAAGAGTTTTTTTAAATAGCTGGTTGGTGTGTGGTTACTGCCTACTACAGTTCTTCTGTTAACACAGAGGCAATTTTTTTTAATTATTTAGCATGTAGAAAAAAAAATCCAATTCAACTTTGGTCTTGCTTCTATAAATATATAGTGTATACTTGGTGTAGACTTTGCATATATAAAAATTTGTAGTATTTTCTTGTTTTGATGTCTAATCTGTATCTATAATGTACCCTAGTAGTGGAACATACTTTTGATTGTACAATTGTACATTTGTAAACCTCTGTAATGTAAATGTGGAGAAGTTTGAATCAACATAAACCCATTTTTGGTAAGAAAATAAATTAGCAAAACCTGTGCATTTCAGTGTATATTCACCCCTTTTATGGTCGTAGCATATAGTGTTGTATATTGTAAATTGTAATTTCAACCAGAAGTAAATTTTTTTCTTTGGAAGGAAATGTTCTCTTTATACAGCCTGGTTAATGTTTAAAAGAAAAATGCTTGGTTTTTTTTTTTAATTTGTCACCTAGTCAAGAGAGTAGCAATCCTTTCTAAATGTTACACACAAACAAATGATTCAGTTAAAAAAAATAGTGTTTATTTGACTCTTTGAAAAAGAAAAGCAATGTTTTATTTTGTGGCAGTAAAAAAAAAAAGACACACACCCCTTATTCCTTTTCAATCAGAGTCCCTCTTTCACCTTGTAAAGTGTGAAATCACTTTGCCTTTTTGTACAGAAGATAAACTGTATTTTGCATTTTGTCTACTTGTAAGTGAATGTAACATACTGTCAATTTTCCTTGTTTGAATATAGAATTGTAACACTACACGGTGTACATTTACAGAGCCTTGTGTATATTTCCAATGAACCTTTTTGCGAGCACACTTGTAACCATATGTGTATAATTAACAAACCTGTGTATGCTTATGCCTGGGCAACTATTTTTTGTAACTCTTGTGTAGATTGTCTCTAAACAACGTGTGATCTTTATTTTGAAAAATACAGAACTTTGGAATCTGGATTTGTGTTTCGTTTGAGTATTTTCAATATAGAGCACCAGGACAAAATATTCTGACTGACTGACTGACTCTTTTTTCTTCTGATTTCACAATGTGCTTATGCAGTGCTTTTGAAGAAATGGTTGTATTTTTTTGGGGGGGGGGGATATTCTCTTGCTAAGTTCCTATACAGATCTAAAGATGGCTTATAGTCCTTAAAAGACACCATCAGCTGGATTTACCCATAACCTGAAGCCATAAATTAAATTTGCAGGTTATTTATTTATTTCTTTGTTTGTCAAACATGTACAAGATAACAAGTATAGGCAAGAACATAAACATGAACAAAGGAAGTAAATGCAGATAAATGGGGACATTCATAATGAATATTCTGTCTCAGAACGATGCAGAATATGGATTAATGTCACACACGAGTCCATCCACTGTATTTATATATTGGTTTCATCCCTAAGCATTCAAAGAAGTTTTGTATTGACTTTTAAGCCCATAGAGGATTATTTAAAAGAAAATGGATGAGGGGAAGTACTCGGAGGCAAGTAAAGTTCTCGTGATTGCATGATGGTTACATAATGAATGGCAAATTTTGGGTGTTTTTCCCCCCCTGAAGATCATTTTAGGAAGAAAAGACCAAGATGATATGCTTGGTTTAAACTTCAATTAAATCACCAGTCTTAGTTCCAGTGAGAGATAATGGTATTATCTTGTTTCTTATAGTGATAGGGTTCCTTTAATTAACCAAATATATCTCCTAAGAGATATATATATCTTTTTTTTTTTTTTTATAAATTATTTTTATTTTTTGTTACATGGACAACAATGGGAAAGGGAGAGGTTGGAGAAAAAACAAGGGGGGGGAGGGAAAACCCATTTTCACATACAATATGT